TATATACAACAATCTACTGACGTCGTCTTAATTTATGCCATGCCCGATGTCATAAATAGAAGAGTACATAACACAGGCTCGCCCAATTTCCTGCGATATGCACACACCATTTTGTGCATATATGTATATATATGTGTATATTTATACACACGGACATGCTCACATTGTGACATGCATGCATTAGGGCCTAGTTTGAGGTGGGGTGGGGAGAGATATAGCCTAGTTTCTTCCCGGACCTGCACCCTTCACGAAGCAGATATGATCCTCCTGAGCCCGTCGAAGAGTGTTTACAGCCCTACGTTGTTGCCGTGTTTGACCGTCAAACTGGAGCGTCGTTGGCGGGTTTCGGTCCGGCCCCATTCGCTTAAGTCAAGTTGGGCCGAAGGGAGGGGCTGTGGTTTCGAGAACTTCAGCTTTGGGATCCGGTTGTTCCGAGACAATCGGATGTTCTTGGCAGACAAAACTGATCCGAAAGGCATCAAAGTGGGTTTCACACCACAATCCCTTGGTTCAATGTAATCAGGTTGCCATTTGCATTTTCACACTTGACTTGACAAGAGTGCAGTCAGCCTCAATTCACACCCTTTTTGCCGGTCGAAACAGTCGCCAAGATGCCCAAAGTTGGGCAAGTCCTGAAAACACACTTGACTAGTTGCGCATCCTGAAGTATGACTAACGAACACAACCATGGGAATCAGTGCCAAAGGCCATTGGTATTATGGCCTATTTTATAGCATACATTTATATGAAATGGCTAAACAATTCTTCGTCAAACGAGAAAAAGGCATCAACTTCTTGAGCTAAATCTGGCAAAAACACCAAAAAAGACTACTTACTCGTAGCTAGTAGTGCGGTCAGCCTATCCCAGAAATTGATGCCATTTGGATCCCACTTTATGGGATTCAATTGAAAATGTCTACTTTATTCAATTCCGGCAGCAGCAGTATCGTAAATTCCATCGGCCTGCTGCTGTCCGTTGAAGGTAGAAATATGTTGACGCTTTGCATTTGTACCAAATTTTGTCAATTTCTCGCGCAGAGCCAAGCCACGCGAAGAGTACCATGCACCAACTTCAGCCGAGGCCAGCCGCAGTTGACGGGGCCGAAGTAAGCAAAATGTGTGCCTACTTAAAAGTAAGTGTGATTTCAACCCTTTCTAGGTGCGGGGCGACTGTATTTTTCCAAAATAGATCGTAAAAGTAGTCGTCTCTTTGAACTTTTATTAAATTTTCATCACCCAAAACGTGCATACAAGACGACTGGACAGCAGCAGAAGCGCAATCGCTTCGGAACAGAATCAATTTCAATGCGAAATTCAGCGTTAAAATGGCTCCAAATAAGGTCAGATAACCGGTTTGCTTCTTATTGCTCCTCAATGGTCTGTGATCCGATTTGGCATTCTCGTCTCCGACGCCTGATCCGTGCAAAGCAGCACAGCCGAGATCAGCTTCTGTCCGGCGGGACTTGCGCTCTCCGCCAAGACGGACAGTAGAAGGCGAACTCGTGGCGGAACACCGGCAGAGCCGCGATTCACACCCTCGACCTGGCGTCCTCTCCGCTGCACACTCGACGCCACGGCGTTGGGATGGCATAAACGTAAAGTGGCCATTTTGCAGGCCTCCTCTTGTGCTGTGGATGATGTGGATGCAAGCATGGACGGCCGACAGAAGAGGTGGATTGACGGACGGACAGACGTACACACTCTCCAATAAGTGGATGACTAAACGGACGTGCAGAAACAGGATGCAGCAGCAACAGATTGAAGTACTGCGGACAGAAACATGGTAAAAACGGTTGAAAGTAGAGCAGACTTGCTCCAAAAGTGGACATTTGTGAGGTGGCCAGATGGATGGCTAGATAGACCGGCTGATTAAAACACCGACGATTGGATATTTATCATATCAACACCAAATACGGCTGGATTCGAGGGATAGAAGTCAAGATCAACAAGGCAGATCACTAAAATATAAAGTAGTATTAGTAAAAGAATAAAAAAATAAAAAAATATTTATATATAGCATTTAACACTAAAGTTAACAGTATTATTGATCCTCCCAAATTACCTCACTCTTA